GGAGATAAAAAGCTGTTTTCATTGTTGCGTTTGAAGAAGAATTACCAAGTTCACATAAATCATAGATTTTTAGCAATATCAAAGATGGTTTCGTGAGCACTAAACTACCTAAAAATCAATGCCACACCGTGATACCCGGCTAGTTGGTTGTCGGTCACAAGCTGCTTTCTACCACGGAAACGAACTCGCCCATTAAACTATCACCAGTTTCACTATTGACAATAATTTTAGACAGCGTATAACAAAATAGCTGACTATTACACACAGTTGGGAAAAGCGAAAACGTTCAACTTTGGTGGATTCATTACAAGGTTAATTACCTTTTAAATGTTAGCGATTTTGCTTACGAAGTAGATTAGTACTTAACAAAAACGCCGGAGAGTACTTCACAGTCAACTGCAGGGCACATCCCTGAGATTTGTTGAGGCAACAACTCTCTGCTACCTAAGTTCATCTGATTGTATTACGGAGCTTGATCAGCCGTGGCCTGCACGAGGACAAGTAATCACTCTGGCCATACACAACCCACGCTGTGTGACCTCAATGGAACCTTTCGTATCGGCGTTATTATTGTCCTCGTCCGGACACGTGAACTTAAGTGTTGATAACTAAAGCGCAAAACACTGTTGGCTAAGCGAGAATATTTGTTCCTTCGAAAAATTCACCGAATCCCGCACCCAATAAATGGCGCTGTCCTTATAGTTTATATCGATGTTGCAACCCCTTATACCCATTAGGTTGATAAATTTAACTAGATGCAACAGCCTAGCTATACAGCTCTCGTTTTCTGGACATGGCTTTCCTAGTAACACTCTGTCAAATTTCAAAGTTCGCATTTTTTCATTTTTCGAGATAAATTGCAACCTATGATCAAAGTATATATTTTTCTAAATGGTAGTGTAGATCAAAAAAAGTGAACAGGTGCCTCGCCTTGTCTAAGAAATGCATGTTTCTAACTGAACTAAAGCGCAAAAATTGCTAACCTCACAGTGAACAATGAACGATGATTTATAACGGGTAAAAAAGCAGGTGCTTGACATGTCCCGTTGGGTGTTTAGCGTGACAAAAAGAAGATAGCGAAGGGATAATGGAGTCGCCAATTCGGGCGCTTACAGATGTAACTGCACTGTCGTATAAATGGAGTTTGAAATAAGAATGTACGCATACAAAGCAACAGGGGAGTGGTTATTGTTCACATCGTAGGCGAGAAAAATAAAAAAGATAGCAAGGACAACGCTTACTCATGTACAACTATCTTGGGTCGACGGGATACAGAAATCCAACTTCTATAGTAGTAGCGTTTATCAAATTACGTGCAAGACGTTTAGAGTGACTCATTCTCGAGTAGCGTTATGGCACTATCCCGTCTGTTGTGCATTAGTGCCAGCATCTGGTGGTCATGGACTATAGCACGTAGTGTAAATGTGACAGGGTATCGTCAAGGCGTTTTTTGAAAAGGGATAGGATGGGTGCATTAATTACATGTTCCGGGAGGGCGTTCCAAGGCTGTGCCACTCGAAGGGAGAAATAGTTTCGCCGACATTCCAGGCGGCTGTACTGCGTGACTACCTTAAACTGATGACCTCTTAGCGAGGTGTTTTGACTGAGTGTTAGAAGGGAATGGCATGGGTGGTTGGGGTTTCTCAGGATCTGGTACACTATTATGAGATCGCCCCTTAGACGCCGATAACATCCACTGTATATTTTGAGGGTCTTCAGCCTGAATGGATAGGGGGGGCTGATCAAACTTCTGACGCTCTTCGTTGCCCTACGTTGTACAGTATCGAGCGCGGTGAGATGGTGCTTGAGCCAGGGTTGCCACGCTTGGATAGCGTATTCCGCGTGCGGCCTCACGTACGCACAGTGAATCCTTCCGCCTCCAATCTTGCCATACGTCAGAGGAAATCGACTTTTGTCCACGGAGCGGTTTAACTCCGACAGCTCTGACTTAACCTTTACGCATAAATTCGTTCTGCAGATCCCGTCTCACAGATGTGTTAAATACACAAAATCTCGTCTGAATGTCCAGTTTGATGCAATTGTTTTGTGCATAAAGAAGATTATTGACTTGACTTGAGTGTGATGCGCAGTTCCATTGCTGGCCACGAGTCGCACTGAAGGGAACCATGCCCAATTTTACCATAAACACCTGAATAGAACACTTCTGCAGATTCAAGGTTCAACCTCTCAGTCTTTATTAGTGGCGATTTTGTGATACCCATATAGCAACAGAAAGGTGGAAAAGCAAAAATAAGCCGTCGAGCATGTATTACTTGAGCAGGGGCATGTTTATCACGGCGGAAATGGTGGACAACACTTACAACCGATAAGACAGATTAGTGGCGTTGCAACTGTTCTTGCCGTTCGCGGCGGTGGTAAAGTTTTCACCCGGACTGAGAGCAGAATTGGCATATGAATACCATACAATGGGCCCAGGGTAAAGCACACATTAGTTTTCGATGAAATGGATAAGCGTTTGGCAAAAGTGACCACTATGGGACAAGTGAGGGGATTGCTAGGATGAATGTTTGCATAGGTATGACAGCACGAACGCTTTGTTGATTATACAGAGTATTATTAAAATATTCAGGGCTCATCTTTTCCGGATATATGGTCTTTTATAGTTGGTATCGAATAATAGACAGTACACAAAATGCCGCCCCTGTCGCATACCGCCCGTCGCGGACGACTCCCCGCTCCTATGTTACGCGTTTGAGACTGGTTTGTTCTTGTCACGTTCATCACGCATCTAAGCTGTAATCAAAATCCGTGTTCCTAACTGGGACCGTCAATAGCTCTACTCCAAGTAACGAACAGTTAAGGTACCCAGACTGACGGCAAAAGATAACTTACACAAGCTAGTGGTCGCAGCTTACTTGGTGTTACAGACATTCGGCCATAAGTCACGAAGGAAATCATGTAACGCATGTTATGCTAACGAACATCATTAAATGTCGTATGCGCTGCTGTCGGGACAACTGCAACTTTGTACTAATTGGTGTTGCCAAATAATCTGTACGAAGCAACCGAAGTTATAATACAGCTAATCCAGTGTCTTATGATTCCAATCTTCTGCGCATGTCCTGTGTGGAGTAAATTCCACTAACACATGACTACAAGTCTGAAGCCGGCGAAGTCGTGATCCCGCTTCTTCTCTAAGCGCTCCGCACACATCTTGCTCTTTTATGCTGTGATCTTTTACCCTGGGAACCAAGCGGAGCTGGCGTGGTTGTAAAAGATAGCGGAAATTGTCACTTAATACTTCATCTTCGCTATAATACTACGTCAGCTTAACCCCCACTGAAGCAAGACAATAAATGACAATAATAAAATACATTACTTTGATTAATCGGTGTACAAACATTGTCGTTAGATGCATAGCAATTGGAGACACTTACCGCATACCTAAGACGAGCGGCACAATGGCAGCCAAACACCATATTCTCAGCGCTTCAAAGACGTTGCATTCACACATGAATGAACTTCATTGGTGTCAACCACCTCAGCAATAATGGGAAACGCGTAGCAAATAACCACTATATGCCTTTTCCTAGTCACATGTATTGAAAGCGCTTTCGAATTCTTTCCTATGGAAATTATGTTCCTTCACAGATCTCTCAACATGGTCCTTGACGCCAGCAATTTGCATTCAGAGTGTGCAATCGCTCCTACAGACTACCAACTGTAGGTTGAGTGTTTAATCCCAAATCATCCCATAGTATTTGACTACACAAAGTGGGATGATTGTACTTGATTCTGGATTTTTCACTCAACAAATAACATTTTAGGGGCGTTCCCGTCCGTGGGATACAACTTGATAACATTAAGGACCATCTTGTGTGCTCTATGTGGAACCATGATTTCCTTAAGAAAGAATTTGAAAGCGCTGGGGAATAAATTGACTGGGAAAAGATATAGTTAGTCACTTGCGAATCAAATCCTGCTCTTTTACACTGATTCCAGTGAAGTTTGGCTAGTCCGAAAGATATCCATCATTTAGTATCATTGTCATGTGGTCAAACGAAGTTTACGTATTGTTGGGACATTGGTTCATTTTCCATGGCGCAAAATTTCGATAAGCTGTTCCCGGGGATTTTGTATCTATCGCTATCAACCGAAGTTCAGTTAGTTGGATCAGTAAGGCATTTCCTCCGCTGATGTAGAATGTCACATGGTAGCCTCGGTTTTCCGAACCACATAAGCTTGCATATTACACCTCAGACTGGTAACAGTCGACATTGTTACGCTCTCTACACTCCAATACTCGGCCACGCCCCATTGTGCCGATTCGTTATCTGTCAACGGTCGAGTGAGGAACTACGGCCTTGAGGTCTGCGACACGGCGTAAACTCCCACAGACTATCGGCCAACTATGCTCTTAATGAACAACAATTGTACCTGGTATTCGTTTGCGTTATCTAATGTTTCCTCCAACTGAAACTTGGCAATTGTTCACGCAACTAGCTGCTGACAAAACTGAGATAGATGAAACTAGAAGATCGCAAATGACAGCGCTTACTTCTGGCGTACTAGCGAAAAACATCAATGCATCTGCGGCACTGTTCCTAAAAATATCGCATGCTGTCAAGATTTGCGGCAGCCAATACTCTTGTTAAACGCATGTCTTTAACTAAGTGTCGCTTACGAATGAAATCCAACAGAAAAGGATATGTGTGAAGATCAACTTTGCCCTTCGAAATGACATCGGTCTACAGATAAACGAAAGAAAAAGCATAGTGCTCTGTTTCGACTGTTTTTAATGCACCATGATTGATACGGCAATTATATGCCTTAGAAAACTAGCGGAGAAATCAGTCCGTTGTTCTTGTGGCGGCCTATACGTAGCTGATGGTACTCCATTATTTACAAGAGGTGATGAGTATCTCATGTATCAGTGTTCTAATGAACGTTTTATGGGGTTTCTATGCAGAAGCTAACTAAATAAAGTCCAATCCGTATGAAATACCACTTAATATTTTGTCTATCGAATCAGTACTCACCCCAAGTGTGTGGTAGTATTGATAAGTTGCAATATTTTCAAACAGACTAGCAGTGTGGGTTTTGTTGCGTTTTGCATAGGCGACCACCACCCGTAAGCACTGGAAACTGGAGCGATTTTTCGAACACCGATTTTCACATCGTACGGCATTGCTCACAATTCGAGCTCCAATGTATGTGCAAATGGTCTGGGTAAATCCGGATTCATGTCGATAAGGCATTATGACAAGATGTAAAAGAATACACTGCACAATAAACGCGACTGTGATGAGTATCAAACAGGTGAGGTAGATGAATTTTAAAACTGATTCCCGATATCGTCGTCCTACGAAAAACGTCCGACGCTGACTCAGAGAATCCACATGTCTTTTTGTTCTAATTTGCATGTTTGAAAAGCACTGAAGCGCTTGCTTCTGGGTGAGTGGAATCGGATTTGAAGAGCACACGCATCAATTATCAGTCTGAATGGACACCGATTGACGGTGGCAAGTTCAAAAATCCATTATTTTTACTCGGCTTCTCAAGATGTGATTGTTCTCATGTACCAGTTAAAACGCCTCTCAAATTCCGATTGGTTCTACAATACTTGTTCTGATTGGGCCATATTTGGAGGCCAAAAGACAGGTAGGATTTTGCACTGAAAGGGTGATTGTTTGTGAATGCCGACTCAGTTTTGTACGTGACCTATTATCAAGTAGACAGTTGTTCAAAAGTTTGACTAACACTGCCTGGGCCAGTTTTTGTCGTAGTCCCTGCAGGATATACAATTTGTGACATATGGCTACTCTAGTATCAACATGTGTAATCCCGGAAACAGGTTCGAATAACGGTCACAATAAGATACACGTGGAACACCAATGAAACCTGTATAAACAGCAAAGATAAGCCAGGCAGATCATCGGCGTAGTTGTAGTTATACCTAGCCTATGGACCTCTTTAGGAAAACTACAGTTTGCAACTTTGCAAAACGATGCGCGTTTAACTCTTCGTTGCCTGAGCACAAGTTAGTTTGGCTACCTCTATCTAAAAACTCCAATTCATACAGTGCACGTCTGGGATTGGTTAACATCTATTACTTATCGCCTTCAACCAGAGTCTGGGCGAGCGTGTTGGCCACTTGTCTCTTTTAATGAAATCGCATTCACAATCAAGATGGCTATTTACGAGCCGTTTTTGCAAGTGTTGAACTGAAAAGAATAAACAACAAATTCGCTTGCAAAAATTTAGTATGCTTGGGTTTCTTGGTGCGAGAGGGGAATTTCGCGTTATTTAAAACGGCCGTCACTAGGATTCAATGAAATGGACTGAACACTAATGAAGTTAGTATTGCGCAGATGTCTGAGAAGTCTCTCAATGGCACGGTTGGAGCACGCCTGCGGTAACGGCTTGGAACGCTGGCCAATCGAACGGATTTGCGCTGACCTGATGGCGTTAGCTTAGCCCGGGGTACGCGCTGGTGAGACGGAAATTGAGCGAGCGTGAGAACGATCCTAGCCGCAGGTATTCGGGTAGATGCTGAGCTCTCGGAATGGACGCACACGGGAGGGGTTTACGGTAGACGCGCGCTAGTGACTTAGACGCGAAGGCTGCCCGGCTAACGACGCGCACAAAATCACGTGACCGACCGACTCTCAAATAAGGAGAAGCAGAAGCAAGAGAGGTGGTCCTCTGAAGGCTATTTTACGACCAACAAAGACGAATCACAGCCAATGCAATGGGTCATTAATTTAGGGAAAGTGCTACCACGACGGTGTAGTAGATTATAAAAGATCCTTGTCGACAGGTGTGCTGTTAGGCCGCGTCTCGGAGTGGTTGAACGCTGCTGCGTTGTGGGGAGGAATTAAACTCTCCGTTCCCCAGCTATTATGCCGGAGTTTCTGGCGCATTTTTGCGGGGATATTTCACGGGCCCGCCACACTCCCTTTGAAGGGAAGCGTAGCAGTTCTGACGAGGATTGACCTGGAGGGATTTCGGCGACCTCCGGATTCTTCCTGTTCGTCGGCGAGGCGTTTTCTCCAGTCGCGGCGGTGATTGAGTGACTTTGACCGTGGTCTCTCGTTTTTGTAGCCAATCCAAAGGTATCCAGCAGGTGGTGCAACGGCAGGCGCACAAGAGGGCTGGCTGGCGTGGAGGTTTCTCCGTGGCGCAGTCGACGTTGTTTGCGATGGCGAACCCAGGTGTCATCACCTACGGAGACACCATGCAACATGTCACCTCGCCTGACCGTCACTGTTGTTTTGATGCAGCGTGGATGATCTGCTCGATAATCGCGAGCGTAGATTTTGGCTCCAACAACGAATTCTTTATGTTTGGTTCAGGCACTGGAGTGACTAGGTGGTTTCTCAGTCGGAATGAGCGCTTCGTTGGTAGTGCGTAGCTTGTGGCCCATCAATGCTTCAGTTGGTGATCGGCATCCCGGCGTTCCTGGATTCCGTGTAGACCGGTACGAGAGCAGGAAGGTTTGAAGGCACTCATCCACGGTCTCCTCACCGCGAGATTTCAAAAGCGCCATCTTGGAGGTGTCGACAAATCAATCCGCTTGACCATTGGACTGGGGATGTTAAGGCGGTGAGCGGAGGTGTTAGCTGCAGCGTCGGTGCCAAACGTCTTCGAAAACGGAAAACCTGAAATGGGTACCGTTAGCGTACACAATTGCAGCCACTGGAGAGAATAGGTGGCTCCTCATTCCGAATGAGCGCTGCGTTGGTGATACGTAGCTTGCGGCCCATCAACGCTTCAGATTGTGACCAGCATCCCGGCGTTGCTGGATTTGGTATGGACAGATACGTGGACTAATGTGAGACGGTATATCCACAGAAGAGATTTGTATTTCATCCGAGCATGAAACAATATCAAGTAGATCGATAAGTACGTTAACATTGCAGGTAATACTCACAAGAATCGAAGAGTTTATGCTGGATTCAGAATGATCCATTTCGCCCGTGGTGCCCTGGGCCAATGCAATATGTACCGTATGCTATCCCATGTACCGATTCCATCGAATTCAGAGAGAAATAGGTGGAGTGGTTTTGCCTGAATTTTGGTGATTTACTGGTAAATTCAGCATGAAGAAATTCACGTTTGAGGGAGTTCAAACTTCAAAAATGTTTTCCTTCTTAAATCTCGGAATATACCTCACAGTTGTTTGATTTACAATCAACAGCTTAGCAAAACGCTTGTTACGCAATCGAAAAAACGCCGGGTTTCCGTAGTGTATTGAAGCCTAAATCATTTTCCAGTACGTTGCAGACATTTGCAACCGCATTCCAGTTGTAGGCTGCATGTCGTCCGGTATGTTGAAAACAATATCATTTTTAACACGCTTCCATTTTCAGTAACCTCAGACGCTGCAAAACTCAAGGCGTTCATTGCCACATCCGTGTGTCTGCGCTCTGCATTAGAAGGAGAATCAACTAAGCAGGAAACAGTTGGCAGCCTATCCACGAGAGAATCTGACCGTAAATGTTCCACACGTTGCTCATTTAACTGCTGCTCTCACAAGGCAATTCTGTTCATCTGTGAGGATACAAGCTAAACAATATTTGATGAAGATTTGCGTGCGACACTTCCATGAACACTAGGTTCCGAGGGGTTTCGGTGATACAGATTAATAGCCGCAAACGAAGGAGAATAGAATCAGGTTCTTCCGTGGCAAAACTACGCTGCAGTAGATTCATACTAACGGGAAGAAATTAACCGTCGCAAATACTTAATGTTTGTTCATTCGCTTTACCTGTGTGACAATAAGCGTGGTTCACCACGAAGTTTCTACTGGGACAATCAAGCACAAAGACACAAGAAACTTACGAACAGATTTCTTCAGTCCAAATGGATATATGCGACGTTTACAAAACGGGATCATCGGCTACTTCCGAAATAACAGGCGGAATTTTCATTCCACCAGATGTCACTGAATAATCGTGTAGTAAACCAAGTATTTGGTCTTCATTATCACTGTGTGACAGAAGTGGCACTAATTTTAAGCGCCTGCAGAACCCATAATAAATGGATCTTTGCAAAGGATAACAAACTTACAATCGATAGGGTTAGAATGCTTAACTAACACCGGCAAATTGCAACATGCTGTCACCGGAATTATGTGGCCAGTAATACCTTTATTAATAATGCATGGCAATATGGGTAAACATCGGAGTGCAGATGATAGAAACTTGTTTTAGATGCGTGTGACTGCACGCTACCGGTAGCAACAGTGAAAGGACGTAGGATATTGCATAACTGACCACTTGTATTTACAACCATTGCTAACGAATGGGGAATATTTTGGCGGGTTCTTAAAAGCATTCTTAGCTTGCTCCAAAACATTACGGCGTTTGAGCTGACGGCAGAACTGCGGACATATCCCATTTTGGACACACAGATGGCATATATAATGTCGCCGGGGCTAGTATACCGTGAATGCAGCTTCCCACAGGAAACACATTGCCCACGCTTTTTTCAAACTAACCACACTTCGCACTGTCGGAATTCTTTCGTGTTTAAGAATAACTAAGGCTATGAGGTAAAAAGAGTTATTTTGCCACTGTTTTCGCGTTTCGGCACGAACACTGTTTGGTTGACTAAACAAAAGTTGTTGAGCAACAACAGTCGTCTGGGTTTTTGTAATGTCAGAAATATCCTGACATTGTAAACAGATAGTCTTCATCTGCTTATTAGTCTGTACCGTCAGTGACAGCAGCTGACGATATAAATTGGAATTATTTATGCCAAGAAGCAAGCGATCGTTCAGGTATGCATCATGCCTCTCCCCAACTTCACAAGATGAAGCTTGCGGCTGAATCTGAAGATTAAAATATCGGACAGATTGATTAGGTTGAGGCAACTGTAATAAACTTTACTCTTTAGCAAGGAAAACTTTTCGGTTAGATATGTTTTAATGGTAAGCTCTTTAACTTTCGTAAGATAGCTTTGACGGTAACTGAGGATTGGACCAGATTTTTATAAGTAAATGGACTTTCTGTCTAACAGCAGTTAAAAGTTGAGCGACTCTCAGGTCTTCATGACGGCCACCCTTTGGTGGGCCACTATAGTTCACACTTTTTCATGCATGTTTCCGACTCCCGAGGAGATGCACTTATCTAAGGCAAGATAGTTGCATTTATTTTGAACTAAAACCTGATCACAATGCCAACTTTAGTGGGAACTAAGCTCCAACCAAACCAGTCTCGACTGTGAATGGGAATTCCAATTTCACTGGTAGGTATTCGAAGTCAAGTGGTGAAAGTGCACAACAGGAATTAATTTTTTCATGTCGTATGTACGATCATCACAGTTCCCCATACAGTTTGTGTCGTCGAACAATTTTCAATCATTCTCAGTCGCTGCGTGAGGAAGGTACACAATTTCAGTGCACTAGGTTGCAACAAGGAATAATGATGATGCAGTTGAACGGTTAGTTCATCACGAGTCATTTGCAAAGGTGGAGCGAGAAAAACAGGTTGGATTATTCGGTAGTAAAC